GGGGGGAGCGCACTTGCCGTAGCGCCGACTCACGCCGCGGAAGGCCGATGTGCGCTTCGGCTCCGCCGGCGCCGCCGCCGCCGCCTCCGCGCCACCCGCTGCAGAGCTGCCCCCCGCCGCCGAGCTGCCCGCCCCCGCCGCCGCCGCCGCCGCCGCCGCCGCCGCCGCCGCCGCAGGCGGGGCGGTGGGCCGAGCCTGCGGCGGCGGCTTCGCGGGGGGGGCGGGCTCGGAGGCGGGCCGCGCCTCCTTGAGGGCGGGCCGCTTGCGCGGCCTGCGCGTGTACGGCACCTCCTCGTAGCACTTTGCCCACCACGCCGGCCGCACGTCGGAGTAGAGCTGCATCGCGACCAGCTCGGCGACCTCCGGGTCGGTCCCTTCGGTGGGCGGCGCCGCCGCAGCGGCGAGCGCGCTGCACGGGCCGCCGGGCAGCGCGGCGCCGAGCGCGGCGCCCACCTAACAGGGGGCGCGGGCATCGATCGCACGCGCGGCGCGAACGCGAACCCGCGCGGCCGGTCGGGCAGCGTGCGAGTGCTGCGAGTGCGGTGTGCCCCGGAGGGGCGTTGTGCGGTGCAGTCGCTTTGCGAACGGCGCCCCTCAGCCGCCCGCCCGCGCCACCCCCCGGATCAGCCCGGCCCCTCTGCGGTGCCCGCACGCGCCTCCTTGATTGCCTCCCAGTGCTCCTCGCGGTCGTGCTGAGGGTCCGAGACAAAGTCGTAGAGGAGGGAGGAGACGGTGCGCTTGGGCGCGCGCGACGAGAGGATCCGCTGCATCACGAAGCCCACCCGCGACACCCGCACGCAGTGAGGGCACCACCAGTCGTCGTCTTGCGCCGCGAGCAGCTTGAGCTGCTCGCCTTGCGCGGGGGTGAGGCACCGCGCGTGGTAGACGCGCGGGCAGACGTCACAGCAGATGAGCTTGCCTCCGTCCCCGCACACCGCGCACTCGTCCTCCGCAGGATCCTCCTCCGCAGGAAGCGACCCCGCCGCGACCACCTCCATCGCCGGAAGCCAAAAGAATTAGAGCTCTACGAGCGTGCGTTCCGCTGTTTTCACACATCTCAGCACGCCCCCCGGTTAAGCTGCGGTGCAAAACTCTTTTTACCACCTTCAAGTACACCCCCAAGACTCCCCCAAACCGCCCAGGGTGAGCTCGTGAGGTGCCAGTCCGCCCGAGATATGACCGGTTGAAGTTGCTAGTTGGTTGGGGTTCCACGGTCAGGATGGAGGTGTCGAACTGGATGGGGGTCAGCCGGGGAGGCTGTTGTGGCGCACCGGACCGCCCCCCAGCACCGTGGCCCACCCAACTGTATCCATGGGAGTCACAAACGGTGCTGCACTCGCGGCCGCAAGCACTCACGACACTCAAACCCACCACCTGCCTCCTACCCTGTACGAGGAGCCATTTCACCCGTGCAACATCTGCACAGGTGTACCGCCGATGCTCAAGCGCCCGGCCCCTACTAGAGTAGTCTTGTGGGACCCGCAAACGACCAATACATCCACTCGGGGCTGCAGCATGTGTCCGGGGGGGGCATCACCGTGAAGCAGCCAGCAGGTGCCGGACATGGCGTTGGCCGTCTTGGACCGAGATCAGGGCGCAACTGCCTATCTCGTGGGGCTGAAGGACCGTCATGGGGTCGGCTTTGATGCTGCCAACCAGTCGGGTCGATAGGTGGCGCCCCGGCGAGATGCATTGCGGGTGCTCGGCGTCGCCTGCTTGAGTGGCCTGAACACGCTCGCGGGAGCCAGAGAGCAAAGGTGTGCGCGAATTGAGGCTTCTGAGCGAGTCCAGGCAAGCCACAGGACCGGCCATGTGCGTGGGTAGTCGAGCGGTGGCCGGAGGTAGCCTCCAGTAGTGCCTCTCAGTTCGACACCTCGGTCTCGACCACGACCAGACTGGGAGCGGAACACAGCTTATCGTATGCCTTTGCCTGTAGGTGCTCGAGGCCACCCCTGGTGCTGGTGCGGGGCTTGACGCTAGGGCCATCACTATCGCAAAGGTGGGCCTGGGAGGATACCGCCAACGATGCCCAGCGGCGCGTGCATACCCACGATCGTGCGCGTGTGTGTGCGTGTGCGTGTGCGTGTGCGTGTGCGTGTGCGTGTGCGTGTGCGTGTGTAGCGCGGGTGGCCACTGTTTTGGTCACGCGCATGAAGCTGATGAAGCGCCTGCTGTTTTGGTCACGCTGCACCGCGGTGCCCTGATGCGACTGCCGTGAACGGGGCTGTTGCCGTTGTTGTCGTCGTTGCTGCCACTGCAGGTTTGGGTCGACCGGCGCGGTCTCAAACTCGGCAAATTTGAACGAGATCAAAGCAGCCAACCCGCGCCCACAGCGGGATTCTCGTAGCTTAGGGTTCAAGGTTCAAGGCCTCTGAAGGGCAGGCAGGCATCATGCCAGTGCTCGGGTCACGCAAATACGAAGCTAATAGGAGCAAATCTGAATCTGGCAGCGGGATGTCGCAGCATGTGGGGCTTGTGGCGCGGTGCTGGCTGCTGCAGGTTGTGCCTGTGTTTGCACCGCGGGAGCATTCAGCGCTAGTCGGCCCTGGCCCTTTGCCGTGGTCTGGGCGCGATGCCACGGCTCACATCCAACGGAAGAAGCGGAGGCGGGGGCGGCGTTACACTGTCGACACGTTTGAAGTTAATCTTCCATCTAAGTGAGTGAGCGTTGCGGGCCCGCCCGAAACGGCGTTGTAGACTTGGACCCAGATTCCCATTTTCGAACAATTCAACGACCCGCCGGCGGTGGCTTTGAACTGAAGCGGGCCTTCGGGAGGTCGAGGAGTTGGCCCCAAATCGTCCATGATGCGCTTGTAGTAGTTGAACCTGGCAAAATTGTTATTGTCGGAGTATACTTGTTCGTCGAACGGAGGATCACACCGCTATGGTTTATCTGTGTCGTGGGTGTACAGAAATGCCGCTTCTCCACTGGCCCAACGCGGCCT